TGCGCTTTATTCACTAAAAATTCATGATCAGAGGAAGTAAATTATACCGCGAAATTTGCAGACCAAATTTTAGCTCATAATGACTTGTCTGTGGTTCGTTAAACTGTTTGCCTCGTGATGTGTCCTAACTGTGTAGAGTTAAGGAACTCTACTTTTTCCATATAAATAGCGAGAAGGAAGTGAGGTGCTTGCAACGTTTCGTCTTTGGGAAAGTGCTTGCAGAGTGAAAAATAATTTATCAACCATAGGGCCGCGTAGACACTTTTGGACACTATCAAGACCTGGAAACTCCAACCCAGATATGGCAGCAGCATACCTTTTACGGCCTGATGTGTCTGTTTTAAAGTTAAAGCATATCAGGTACTTATTGCAGTCGTACAGGTGTTACATTTTCCTACCATCATTAGCAATAGATCGTATATACTTGTTCAACTTGAGCTTTGGGACGAGTTTAAACCCCAATTAGCTGTTGAAGCCAAAGGGTTTCCTAGAAAGAACACCTGTTCATTGCGACAGACGATAATTCAGGGCCTTTCGAAATATAAAAAAAAAATTAGCTAATCGATTATTTATTCAGCGGATTGCTTTTAAACATTCCAAAATCGATATATCCAAATTGCCAGTTCGATTTTAATGAAGAAGTGAAATTCGAATAACATTAATTTCTGTACGTACTTTCGACGTTCTTGACAAAAGTCAAAACGAAATCTGCTCGAAATAAAGGAGAAGAAAAAAAACTGGGTTTATACTAGGAGAAAAGCTTTACCAGCAGACTTGTCCGATACGAGACGATATGACGCCATAGATACAGTGTCTAGGGAAAGGAGGCGCCCCCCCCATTCCACTGATTCGTGGATAGCGTGCATGGCAGTCTAAGAAGCTTAGTAATGTACTGGCTAACAGAGTGGTTTAGCGTTGACGATCGATTCGCTTTTGCAAATGGCTGACAAAATGGTGGAAACCTCGCCAGAAGATGTGAGTCAGCAACAGTCAGCTGCATATAAACATATGCGCATGCGTGCAGGCGCGGATCTGTCACTCATCGTGATTTGTTGGTAATAATTTAGAACAGTGCTTCTCAATATTTTTCCTTCATTACTCCCCACATCACTGATCGCAATGGCCTGTTTACTTTGATGTAAGTAAAACACTGACATATATAGTCGTCTGCTTGCATTCATTCTCGGGGAATAGATAAGAAAATTAAGCTTTCAGCTATAAATTTTGTGGAATAACTGCTTATAAAGCTCTCTTTAGGATGTAAATTCGAATCTCTGGAATGTTAATGGTAATGTTTAGGTTTTCCGTTTCCATGTAGTTAACATTCGGCATTTATTCCTCGTTGCCTGAAAACCATTGAGACAACTAAATACATGATTTAGTTTCATTGCTTTTATTATTCTCAATGAGCAATCTACAATTTTTGCCTTATACCAGACCATAACTTTAAATAATATAGATAAATTAAAGTCCCTACTTAGAAGCGATATGCGAATCCTGAACAAATAAGCGCAGATATATTCCTGTTTTTCAAGGTGCTCAAATTGCTCAGCGATGTGTCACACTATGTTCACAAGATTACAGAATTAAGATCTACATTGACATCTTCGTTTAGTTAGTTAGCTCTTAGATGCAGTTTCCTTGCTAACCTTTTGTTTAAGTTAGTGATGTAGCTTATCCCTTCTAGTTATACGTGCAGTCTATTTTAGTTCTCGCTGATCTTGGAAGTCTTACAGTTACGAAGAAATCTTATTTGGTAAAAGAAATGATTCCGTAGCGACAGTCCAACTCGTCCGACGAAGAATTGTCTGCTATAAGATATAAAGGAGGATAACTATTTCTTGAAAATGACGGGAGTATATTAATTTATATATCAGGATGAAACCTAAAAAAAATTAAATACTAACTATAGCATGCGGGTTTTTTTTTCCTTACCATCCAGCCTTCCAAAATTATCTTGAATATAGGAATTTATTTTAAAAGTGTTTGAAAAAAAATAAGTATGTTATCTGAAATATATTTGCTAAGATCATTTAAACAGGCAGGGTGGAATAGTGGATAGCGGCTCGGATTGAGGAATCGGAGAGCCGAGTTCGACTCCCATTATGTGCTTATACCCACAGTTATGGGTAAATAGCAGAACAAACCGGGTTCTACAGACTTGGATGGCAACTGGTCTACCGCAGAAAAAAATTTGCAACCTACTGCGGGAAAAAAAAAATCTGCCTCGTCAGTCACGTATCGAAAGGTACATGATCGCCTAAGCGTGTATCACGCTTAGCACATAACCTACTGAAACTTGTTCTCGGTTTAACGAAAAGTGAATCGCCGCCAACTTTTACTTGGAAATTTTGGTCCGATTCTTAGAAACGGATGCAACCAAGACATTTTCAGCGCATCCTCTTACATAAACCTTATACAAATGCATGTTATTTTTAAGTTAAAATATCATTGTATTCAAGTTTTATGAGCTGCAGTTATGCGAATAATTAAAAAGGCGAAAAGGTCTATAAAGTTTCCGTCCTGGGTATGACGATAAAATACATCCGCGTCCAGGGTAAGGCGATAAACTATGTCCGACAGCAAAGCCTCTGATCAGGAGGCTTTGAGGAGAGTGGAACAACTTCTTAATTGCTGGTGTTCCCATGTCCACCCTTGCCCGAGTTCGTAGCACCTGTTATAGGGTCCCATTTATGAGTAAATATTTAACCCAGAAAATGGGGTCAAAACACTGTGAAAGTGTAAAAATAGGTTTTAATACCAGAAATACTTTGTAAAAAAAAAAAAAATTACCAAAAAATAAATTATTACCAGCAATACATTTTGAAAAAATAAATATTACCAGCAATACATTTTTGAAGAAAAATATTACCAGAAATAGGTTTTGAAAGAAAAAAAATATTACCAGCAAAAAAAGAAAATTACCAGCAATAAAAATTTTGTCGGCATTAAATAACCCATTGAGGTGTCGATATGCCGTAAAACTAACCAAACCAAACCAAGCAATCTATAAAGTTCATTAATTCATACCGGATGTGTGTTCACGATTTCTTAGAACATCCGCATTGGACCCGGCTTCAACATGTCTCCATGGCTGATTTGTTAGGTAAATGACGTTAAGATAATATTCGCGTGGGGTGGTGACATCAGAGTGCAGCAGCCCTGAAAAGTGTCTGAAGACCAAAAGCCAAGATCTTTGAATTAAATTAGGTAGGCTGAACAATTGTGTTAACCTGAAGTTATCAGTCATCGTGACCGAGAGATTTTTAAACTACTGATAACTCTACTATGTTCTCCCCCAGAAAATGTAACCCAAGGTTCGCTCAGCATAGTTACACTATTAAATAACGTGTGCGCCCTGCCAGTGTTGAACAAGCACAAATGTACCTGAACGGGCATCTGATTAGGATAAGACAGTGGGCAACTCGAGGTGGTGTAATGATTAACAAGCTTGTCTCGCAAGAACGGTTAGGATTGAGTTCGATCCGCACTGGGTGCCCCCTACTTTCTGTATTGTTCCACATCTAAGCTACGCTTTGACAATCACTATAGGATTAGAGATCGCTATTTCCTATGTTTAGCTCAGTTTGTTAGAAAGAGTGTAAAGCGCTATCAAGGGCCAAAAACCTCAGCAGGGTAAAATCTCGAGTTGACATCAATTAAAAGTTTTTCGCAGGTTAAAACAGGATAAACATTTCGATGATAGTTAATGTCAGTTGAAAAAATGAAATTATATTTTAAAACTTTTATCAGATTTTCTTTTTTTTTGTGGGGAGAATTGTCAGCTGCATGATTTGGAATTACAACAGGAAAACTAAACGATGTGGAATTTTATTTTAAGGTGTTCAAAAAGTTCTCTAGCATATCTCGAGGCGAAAGTAAAGTCATTCAGATGTAACTGATTTTTAAAATCGGTTCTCAGTGCAAAAGCAACCGTAAACTAGTTTGTGGTTTCTGTAGCGATAGAAATTAGGAAAATGTGATTTAATTTTCTTTTTTTTTTTTTTTTTTTAGTATTTGCCCAAAGGTCTCTTTGCAGAGTCTGTATCGGATTCCGTTAAAAACCAGCCAACCTTTTACGATGGCCGGGCTCTGTCTCAACATAGAATCGAAAAGTCTTTCAACAATGAATAAAATAGTCCGATTATTTTTTTACCATTTCATCCTAAGCAAGGTGATAATGTCACTAAGACGCAAAGAGTTACTTGGTAGTGGGGGCAGGTCATAAGATAGGAAAATAAAAAAAGAAGACGTAAAATGATGATTGACGTTACTTTATATATATAGGGGTTTGTCTTCTACTCTCAATGGTCTCTCTGGAAATTTGTAGACTGATGGTTTTTGTTTCTCACCACGCAATTGCTTCGGAGTAGGACAAGGTTTGTGCACAACTTCAGTTTTCTTTATGCTAAGTGTAAGTCCAAAGGCTTTACATGCAGCAGAGAAACGATTTATTAGATGTTGGGCATCTTCAAAGGATGTCGCTACAAGAGCAGCATCATCAGCAAACAACAAATCACGAATAATATGCGTACGAAGGGGGGTCTTGGCTTTGAAGCGCTGATGATTGAAGAGAACACCAGTTGACTATCTATCTATCTATCTATCTATCTATCTATCTATCTATCTATCTATCTATATGTATGTATCTCTCTATAAGTCTGTTCATATCTGTCTGTCTATCTTTCAATATATCTATGTCATTCTACTTTTATCTATCTATCTATCTATCTATCTATCTATCTATCTATCTATCTATCTATCTATACACACACACACACACAAACACACACATATATATATATATATATATATTTAAGAGAGAGAGAGAGAGAGATAGACAGATTAGGTGGCAGGGAAGCAATAAACTGCAAGAGAGTTTCATAATGAACATACTTTTGCTACAGACTAATATTGTAGTAGTAGTAGTAGTAGTAGTAATAGTAGTAGTAGTAGTAGTAGTAGTAATATATTAGCCTTATTTAGAGTAGTGAGAAGAGTTAGAGAGAATGAGAAGGATTTAGTGAGGAAAAGGACACTAAAAGAATAGGTGTCAAGACAAATCTGGAAAGATGCTATATTTAAATTTTTATTGATTTCAGGGGCCAGGAATGCAAGAAATCTGAAGTGAGTTCCACAGCTGAGAATTGACAGAACAGGAACTATTAGAATATGATTTATGTTTACATCAACAGAAAAACGATGTGCCATAGTTGTCATCAAATAACGAATTCATGCGGTCGAGAGAGAATTTTTAGAGAAAACCAGAGGGAGGCACGGCCAGGTGATGGAGAAATTCGAGGTCGCTAGAGTAGGTCCGATAATATAACATACCCTCCTTTGGATTTTGTTGAGAATCTCGGATATGTACCAGGAACACCAGGCCAGATATTGCAGCCATAGCTTCTTTACGTAAATATAATGCAGATTTATATCCAGTAACCTTGACATATTTGGGAAAGATAATCCAGGACCTATACTGGCAACAAATCGACTGCATACAGATAGATAGATAGACAGTTAGATAGATAGATAGATAGATAGATAGATAGATAGATAGATAGATAGATAGATAGATAGATATGAACAGACTTAGATAGATAGTAAATGAACAGACTGCATACAGATAGATAGATAGATAGATAGATAGATAGATAGATAGATAGATAGATAGATAGATAGATAGATAGATAATATTTACATTAATCGGACGATTGTCCTTGTCTTTGTTGCAATATTCATCACAACGTTTCAGCCGTAGTGCGCTCCGACCTTCTTCAGTTGAATGCCGGAACGTGCAACGGCCGAAACGTTGTAATGAATATGGTAACAAAGATGAGAAAAATAGTCGGAATAATGTAAATAGTATACATAATAACTCATGCCAGATAGATAGATAGATTGGGTTGAGTCATAAATAATTTCCGTTTTGGGGAACCAAATGTAATGATGATTTTATCCTCCTAAGTAATAACCATGCGTGATGGTTATAAATAATAGATAGATAGATAGATAGATAGATAGATAGATAGATAGATTAGGTTGAGTCATAAATAATTTTCGTTTTTTGGAACCAAAATGTAATGATGATTTTATCCTCCTAAGTAATAACCATGCGTGATGGTTATAAATAATAGATAGATAGATAGATAGATAGATAGATAGATTAGATTAGTTGAGTCATAAATAATTTTCGTTTTGGGGAACCAAATGTAATGATGATTTTATCCTCCTAAGTAATAACCATGCGTGATGGTTATAAATAATAGATAGATAGATAGATAGATAGATAGATAGATAGATAGATTAGGTTGAGTCATAAATAATTTTCGTTTTGGGGAAACAAATGTAATGATGATTTTATCCTCCTAAGTAATAACCATGCGTGATGGTTATAAATAATAGATAGATAGATAGATAGATAGATAGATAGATAGATAGATAGATTAGGTTGAGTCATAAATAATTTTCGTTTTGGGGGAACCAAATGTAATGATGATTTTATCCTCCTAAGTAATAACCATGCGTGATGGTTATAAATAATAGATAGATAGATAGATAGATAGATAGATAGATAGATAGATAGATAGATTAGGTTGAGTCATAAATAATTTTCGTTTTGGGGAAACAAATGTAATGATGATTTTATCCTCCTAAGTAATAACCATGCGTGATGGTTATAAATAATAGATAGATAGATAGATAGATAGATAGATAGATAGATAGATTAGGTTGAGTCATAAATAATTTTCGTTTTGGGGAACCAAATGTAATGATGATTTTATCCTCCTAACTAATAACCATGCGTGATGGTTATAAATAATAGATAGATAGATAGATAGATAGATAGATAGATAGATAGATAGATTAGGTTGAGTCATAAATAATTTTCGTTTTGGGGAAACAAATGTAATGATGATTTTATCCTCCTAAGTAATAACCATGCGTGATGGTTATAAATAATAGATAGATAGATAGATAGATAGATAGATAGATAGATAGATAGATAGATAGATTAGGTTGAGTCATAAATAATTTTCGTTTTGGGGAAACAAATGTAATGATGATTTTATCCTCCTAAGTAATAACCATGCGTGATGGTTATAAATAATAGATAGATAGATAGATAGATAGATAGATAGATAGATTAGGTTGAGTCATAAATAATTTTCGTTTTGGGGAACCAAATGTAATGATGATTTTATCCTCCTAACTAATAACCATGCGTGATGGTTATAAAGATAGATAGATAGATAGATAGATAGATAGATAGATAGATAGATAGATTAGGTTGAGTCATAAATAATTTTCGTTTTGGGGAAACAAATGTAATGATGATTTTATCCTCCTAAGTAATAACCATGCGTGATGGTTATAAATAATAGATAGATAGATAGACAGATAGATAGAAATTGAAACAGATAGATAGATAGATAGATAGATAGATAGATAGATAGATAGAAACAAATAGATAGATCTGAAATGTCATAGATAAATGTAGGATAGCAAAAAGTGAGAGACAGACAACAATAAAATGGAGAGAAAGAAGTGAAACAGCCAAGCCGACCGAGGCAATAATAGACAAAAATATAAAAGAAGAGATAAAAAGAACTATATTCATACAGGCTGATATAAAATCGTCGATTTTCTCAGATATAGATAGTCAAGAAGGTGAAGTGATATGCAGATATGATGAAGCGCTCACATAGATTCATACGTACATACATACATACATACATATATATATATATATATATATATATATATATATATATATATATATATATGTGTGTGTGTGTGTGTATGTGTCTTGATACAAAAAATGAACATTGAGATCAACACCAGCTGCTACAGCCTGTTTCATGCTTGAACGCAATAGTCAGGCCATGAAAAAAGCGTTTAGCCATGAAATAGACTGTCGCCGCTTGGTATTATCGTCAATGTCAATTTTTTATATTTACATACTCTATATCTCATACATTGAGCACTTTAACCCATAAATATGGCACACATTAAAACCACACACACACACACACACACACACACACACACACACACACACACACATATATATATATATATATATATATATATATTGAGAGAAGGAGGGAGAAGCTAAAATAGATAGATAGAAACGGGCAAAATAGGAAGAGAACTGATAACTTACTGAATAGAGATATAGAACTGAAAATATTGATATATATATATAAATATATATATATATATATATATATATATATATATATATATATATATATATATACCTATTTATCTAGCTAGCTAGCAAGATAGATAGATTTTCAAAAATCGAGATACACCAGGTATCATGACAGGAAAATGACAACTGGTAAAAGAGATTGACAATTTATATTGTTGACCACACGCCTGGAATATTTCCACAACAAAATACGTTAGAGAAAATGAAAGTGAAAGTTAAGTTTTAGAGAATCAATTTACTGCATAGTTGTTTCTGTTTAATCCTCGTATAAGTCGACTTTTTAAAAACATCTAAGAGAAACGTTTTTGATTAATTACAAAACTGGCATTCTAAATATGTACCGGAAAGTTCTTGACACAAGCGAGGTTATTTTTCTAAATTATGGAACCTCATTTGGCACGATATAGTATGGGTCGAACTTAAAGATTGTGTTTGCTTTTTACCGTTGTTGATTTTTCTAACCCATCGAATAATTTTACTTTCAATTTCTTTCATTTTTTGTAATCAGATTTATTGTTTATTAATTTGTCTTTAAAATATTTTTTTAGTGTTTTCCTTCTTTTCACTTGACAGTTATTTCGGGATTAACTTCAGCGACGAATAATTGTCACATCTGCGTCTTCGCCTGAGACATTAATCCCACAATGAGTTAAACGTTGACGCTTCATTTATGCAAACTGGCTCTGAGTCGAACAGACAGGGTAGGAAATAAAATAGTAGTTTTTTTTTCAATAAAATCTCCATTGGCTTCAACCACGGCCTCCAGACGATTTCAGAATCTTCTGATTTCTCTTGGACGGTCACCTTCTATACGTTGGTGAATGCTTCCATAATCCTTGCCCTCAGTTCAGCTTTGGTGTTGGTCTCTCGCTCAGCTACGCCCCACACAATAATCAAAGGGTTTAAAGTCTGGGAATTATGTGGCCAGATGTAAATTGCGATGTGGTCTCAGAAATTGTCTGACAGCCATGACTGGGTTCTACTTCTTGTGTGGTAGGGTAGAGAGTCTTGTTGTTAAACATAGATTGTCCAGCGTCCACCCTCTTGACCCAGGGTAGTGCTACATCTTCAGGGCCTCCGTATTGCTCATCAACAAATTCAGGAGTTCTTATCAAAATGATCAGAGTGAGTTTTCGAGCTGTCGTGCCTTCGTGATCACCATTAGATTCATCAAAATCTTTCCGAATCCTCTGCAGTGTCGCTCAAACCCCATAACATGTTCGGATTGGAGTTTCCGGTGCGAATGCCAATCAATACAGCATGCTGTTTCCAAATTTTTAACGGGGTGAATTTCTCCATGATACTCTTTTTTTAACCCTAGTATACGTTATTGAGCCAAAAAAATAAAAAAACAAACAACGCGCATGCGCGAAATTAGGAAAAAATAATATGACGACAATTTGCCCATTGCACATTGTATAGTAAAAAGAAAATTGAAAACTTCATCTTTCCAGTAGGAATTTCTTTTAAGAATGAAGAAATATAATCTAGTACAAAATTTAAAGTTTTTATGGAATCGCTTGTAATACATACAGTGAATGTTTTTTTTTTTATGTAATTGGTATTATATTAAGAAGAAGACGATTATAATTTGGTCTATTGCAACCGGGAGGAAATGAAAACCTTTGAAGAGAAATCCATACAGCAAAATATAAAATCCAGCCAATTCAGAAATACGCACACACACATTATTATATTAAAAGTACGTAAACTAACAATTGCATGCCTATTCACACACACAACCACACAAACGCACACAAGCGCGCATATATATATATATATATATATATATATATATATATTAGTTACCTCCCCTGAAGCGGTACTCAGCTAATTGCACTAAACTCAGCGTTCTTCACTTCACTAGTAAAAAAAATAACTTTCAGATGAACACTGCAATTTTGACCTTGAAAATGATGAACACTACTATATTTAGCTTGAAAAAAACAAACAAAAAATACAAAATACACCCTGACGATGATAGTGTGATAATGTCGAAAGCACTCGGAATACATAATATGTATCAACACGGTAATTTTCTCTCTTCCTTTTATAGTCACACCACAAATCTTGTCGTGAATATGAAAGGTTATAATTGAAAATAAGTAGATAAAACTTAAATAAATAGTAAAAAACTAAATTATGCAATTATGCAATGAAACATGTCTTAATATATATATATATATATATATATATATATATATTTGTGGAAAACAGCAAATCTTGTCGCTAAACAAAATGATATATAATAATATATATTTTTTATATCTGGCCACTGGATGTTGCTCGTCAACTATTGTATCTAGGTCAGGTACATTTGTATTTATTCAACACGCAGAGAGCCCATTTGTAGTTTCTACTGCAGTTACGCAGAGAAGACCTTTAGTTAGACTCTCTGGCCGAGAGTGTGTTATCTAGCATGATCAACAACTGGGAACAACGCCATCACGCTCAAACCATCGGTCATGATGACTTGTGACTTCCAGCCGTTCGTCTACCCGATTTCACCCACAAAGTTTGGATCACCCAGTGGCATGGTTTTTAGGCATATGATTCTCATAAATATATTCTTTTAAATTTACATCTAGCTATCTCAGTCACTTCAGACGTATCTATTTAGTTATCTATCTATATGTCAGACTATCTATCTATTTATCTATCTATGTTAGTCTGCTTCTATCTATCTATCTATCTAATAAATGAATTGATAAATACCATCTATCTATCTATCTATCTATCTATGAAAAGAATACCCGCTCGGACCGGTGGCTAGGATCAAAGTGTAGTATCTGCGCTTTGTGAGCTGCCGGGTCGGGTGTCTGTCGAACTCTCTGCTTGCAGAGAGGAACCCGGACGAAGCTCCGCCGAAGGGTGGGGTTTCGTTCGGGGAAGTTGATTTGGAACTAGCCCGCTTGGACGGGTTTAGATGGGTTTTATTTTTGGCTGGGCCTACGGGCTCAGACATACCCACATTAAAAAGGCCTTGTGCCACATTCAATTCCTGTGGGTGAATTGATAAATACCATCTATCTATCTATCTATCTATCTATCTATCTATCTATCTATCTATCTATCTATCTATGCCAGTCTGCTTCTATCTTTCTTTCTAAGTCAGTCAGCATCTATCTATCTATCTATCTATCTATCTATCTATCTATCTATCTATCTATCTATCTATGCCAGTCTGTTGCTATCTATCTATGTCAGTCTGCTGCTATCTATCTATCTATCTATCTATCTATCTATCTATCTATCTATCTATCCATCTATCTATCTATCATGATCCGCTCAGGTCTGGCTATTTGCACATGTCTATATATACCTGTTTATGCATGTGTGTGTTGAGATAGTGACGGAGAGTCCATACACGTTGATACTTATGAAATAGGCTTAACACTGCAGTCGATATGTTCGTATGTCTTTTGATATTTTTTCTTTTTATTGTTATTAACTAGGAGTTTAATTCTATTACCAGAGATTGCAAAATGATTTAAAAAATAACTGGAGAGAGAGAGAGAGAGAGAGAGAGAGAGAGAGAAAGAGAGAGAGAGAGAGAGAGAACAAAACCTCAATGAACACCATGTTAATTTCTGTTTCAGAGCTTTCCCGTTTATTCATGTAGCAAAAATAAGAACCAAAAAATGTTTAAAATAAAAATAAAAATAATTCACCGAAGCCAAATGATGAAAATTAGTTTCTTATCTTTCTGTTCTCTTTCTGCAATTTTTCCTTTCTCCTTTTCTCGTTACTTCTTCTAATTCCTTTTGTTTCAATGAATTACCTCCCCTTTCCTTAATTCCGCCATTTTTATGTTAGCTATTTTTATTTCTTTTTAACTTATTTCACTCTTCTTTTTTTTTTGTTTATTTTATTCTATATCGTATTCGGTTTCTTTCTCAATTATGCCCCACTTGAAGAAGCATCAGCAAGAGAAAAAAAAACGTGAAAGAACAAAAACATTCAACTGCCACGTTTACCTTTCTCCTAATTATTCCACTTTGCGTCTTGGGGATCGGTTAATCTCGAGATGCTCGCCACAACATTTATTGGCTTTGATTTTTCTTCTTCTCTTCAAATCTCGTCTTTTCTCGTCCGATCTCTCTACCATCCACGCATCTCTTTTAGATCAGTCCGAAATTTAAGATTTTAAGTCTTAACACTTTCTTTCCCTTATAGGCTTCAATGGAACCGTTTTTTCTTTCCACACTTTAGAGATTCTCCTTCCAATTCTCTATTTTTCCACAGTTCCATCATTTTTACTTTTAATCATTCTAGTCACTCGTGTAATTTTGCGTCAAAAGTTATCCACACGCGTTCTCCATATGCAAGTGTTTGCTAAAATCCTTCTTTTTTCATTCAGTTTTCATTTGGGGATCAATCAAAATGATGACAATGATTCTCCCAAATGCTAAAACTCTTTAACAAATCACAGGCCTGACAAAATTAAACGTGTGTTCATATTTTTTCCACCATCACATCCACAAATATGGAGTAGATGTGTGGGTGTTGTGAAGGATAGCCTCTTTGAATGAGAAATCGGAGAGTCGAGTTCGATTTCCAATCGCGTTCGTTGCATTCACTTACACACAAATAGCCTTGAAAAATGTAAGGATCCATCTATGCATGAACTCCTCAATCTATGGGTTAAATAGTAGAACAAACCTATTTCTTTAGCTTCATGGGTGTGGGCCGACCAATCTGGGAGAAGGACAACACTGTAGAAGCACGGACGTAGATGACACTGACTATGATGTCGATTGTGATCAGCCTCATTTGAATGATGGACCTTTGACACTTCATCAAAAGAACAGAAATAGAAAAAAAAAATTATTGAAATCATTACATGAACATGAGTATAAAAATTCTCCTAACCGCAATACAGGTAACCAAGTGGCTACTGCGGAAGGTGCTACAGATTTGAAACGAGGGGTTCTTGAGTCCTCACATCGACACAAATCAAATGGAAGAAATAATAATAATAATAATAATAATGTAATCGAAATCTCAAAAATGTGGCACATGGGAACATCAATAATCCCTGTTGTATTTGGAGCCCTAGGATTGGTTGGAAAATATTCTAATGAACTCATTGAAGGGATTGATTGTAAAAAGGTTCTGATAGACTCATTGAAGGGATTCCTGGAAGCCCATGCCTTAAAGAAATACAAAATATTGGAGGGGTTCTTGAGTCCTCACATCGGCACAAATCAAATGGAAGAAATAATAATAATAATAATAATAATAATGTAATCGAAATCTCAAAAATGTGGCACATGGGAACATCAATAATCCCTGTTGTATTTGGAGCCCTAGGATTGGTTGGAAAATATTCTAATGAACTCATTGAAGGGATTGATTGTAAAAAGGTTCTGATAGACTCATTGAAGGGATTCCTGGAAGCCCATGCCTTAAAGAAATACAAAATATTGTACTCACAAGTACAGCTCACACATTACGGAGAGTTTTATCTATTTAAAATGTATGTGATTTTATTTTTTTGGAAAGGTTCAGATAGACTCATTGAAGTGATTCCTGGAAGCCAATGCCTTAAAGAAATACAAAACATTGTTCTCATGAGTACAGCCCACGCCTTACGAAGGGCTTTATCTATGAAAATATGTGTGTTTTTTTGTGTTTTTAATTGGTCAGTGGAAAATGCAATTATGGCATTTCTGACCTTAGGTCTCTGCGCGGGACTCGGAAAGAAATGTGTACACACAAGGAATCAACGAAAATAAAATAATAATAATAATGATAATTCGCAAATACGCTTTTAAGTAGGCGCCCTAGGGGGTCGTCAGTGATGTTTTGATTTAGTTCATCGGCGAGTTTCGGGTCTTTCAACATCATACTCCCCATCACCAAATCGACCCAATCAGGGGAGATTAACCCCTAATTCCCCCTTCTGATTAAAGACTAACAGCTACTCTAGCGTTTTAAAAGAATAACAGGAAGAAAGACCACATATTCCGCACATTCGATTGGATGTTTGTAACAACCAATCCGGTGCGCGAACTATCGTTTAAATGCCCCGCGGTGGGGACTGGCTTCTTTTCTTATTTCGGTGGATTGCGGTTTCAATGGATGACCGAGGAGGTAATCTTAATGTTCCTAAATCTTGCCCTTCTCCTTAAGTATTGTATGGTTTAAATTTAAAAATAATAAGAAGAAAAAACAGGCATTGTAAATATAGTCTACAAACAGAAAAACACCTTCTCATAAACATAGCAGGGCCATCAGTTAAAAATATATGTTAAGACATATGACTAAATAAGTAAATATAAACAGCTTGAAAGTGAAATTGAAAAAAAAATGTGTCACCTTAAAACTAAGATTTTTATACCTATAAAAATTAAAATCTTAGGCCTCATCAAAAGAAGGTAAAACAAGTAGATTAAGAAAACCCCTGGAAGGCCCTGTTTACAATAGATTTTTGAGAATTGCCCTCAGTGGAACTGCTCATCTACTCAGGAGATTCTTATCAATGTACAGAAAATATAAGAACTTTACCTATCAAGTATTACTAAACATCAGAATCAGAGCGAATAGAATGTATATGTTTGTTAACTTGAATTACTCTACGTTTTGGGGATAATAACCCGGGAAATGAACAGAAATCAAAATAAGATATACGTAAGTAGATATGGAACTGAAGCACAACTGGGCATAAAAAAAATAAGGGTTGCTTCATTGTTTTCTTTTTATGCAAGTATAAAGCTAAACATATATTAAGAATTTTGGATGAGGTTTTATACATATTAAATATTGAAATAACGTAAATAATAATAACAATGCATGTATAGTTGGCCACTCGTATTCGAGGATACCTGTCTTCTAGGGCGGCTAACAATCCCAATTGCAGGCGCTTCCCCAGGCACATTTGTGTTTATTCAACACCAACAGAGCCCACCTGTGTTTTATAATGCAGCTATGCTGAGTAGATCTTTGTTGCAGTTTCTGGGAAAGAGCGTGTTATCTAGAGTAATCAAGAATTTGAACAAAGTACACTCAAGCCCTCGGTCACGATGACTTGTGACTTCGTGCTAGCACAGCTATCGACGGCCCCCAAGGTTTTCAGGTTACCCAATTTCACTCACAAGTCTTGGGTCAACCCGTGTGGCATGGTTTTCAGGCATTTTCCAAAGGTGCCGCACGCTGCGATCGACACTTCCAGTCGGATAACATCAGGAAGTCTCCTTCCCGGCAAATCGACTATGGTGAGATTCGATCCCGGGTCTCATTGTCAGAATACGACCGTTCAAACAATTCGGCCACGTGACTGTACCTGTCACGTATCACTTAACATCAGAATCAGTGCGAATAGAATGTGTATACGTTTGTTAACTTGCGTTCCTCTAGGTTTTGGGGGATAAACGATTGTACTGGACAGACATCAAAATAAGTAGATTTGGAATTGAAATACGAATGGACATAAAAATTAAGGGTTTCTTCATTGTTTTCTTTTTTAAGCAATGATAAAGCAAAACATACTTTATAATACCGAAGAATTTGGGATGAGGCACCACACATGATATTATATACTGAAACAACACAAATAATAATAATAATAATAATAATAATAATAATAATAACGATATTGCCACCTACTGAATATAAAACCCGGCATTGACAGAATGGGCCAGTATCTGCACTGGAAAATCTTCAACTTCTACGGAAAGGAAACTGAAAGAAAATGGTATGAACACCACCCAGACCCGGTTACGGAGATAGGACCTGTTACAATTCTATGGGACTACATAATACACACTGACAGAACAATAAAAGCCAACCGCCCAGATATTGTTATTAAAGACCACAAACAAAAAAAGTGCCTCCTTATTGATATGGCAGTCCCTGCTGACTGCAATATATCTTTGAAGATATTCAAAAAGCTATCAAATTACAAGGACCTTGAAATAGAAATCTCAAAAATGTGGCATATGGTTACATCAACAATTCCTGATGTACTTGGAGCCCTAGGATTGGTTGGAAAAGATTCTAGTAGACTAATTGAAGGGATTCCTGGAAGTCCATGCCTCAAAGAGATACAAAAAAAATGTTCTGACAAGTACAGCCCACACTTTACGACGTGCCTTTATCTATTAAATATATATATATATTTTTGTCAGTGTAAAGTGTCATTATGCCATTTCTAATCTTCGGTCCCTGGGCGGGACCCGGAAACAAATGTGTAAACGCCAGAAATAAAAAAAAAATAGTAATAATAATAATAATAATAATAATAATAATGATGATAATAATTAAAAGAAGAAGAAGAAGAAGAAGAAGAAGAAGAAGAAGAAGAAGAAGAAGAAGATGGAACTAACCCGAAAATGCAGGATATGTGGATAATATGATGAAACTGTCGACCATATTATCTCAGGATGTTTGGAACTAGCAAACTAAACAAAGTAGCGACATATGTCCACTGGAAGATCAGCAAGGAACACCAAATCAAATCAACTGAGAGATGGGATGAGCACCAGTTATCCAAAATAACGATTCAACTATCCTCTGGGACATGCCAATCCAAATTGAGAGGGAAATAAAAGCCAACAAACCTGATATTATCATAAAAAACAAGAAATTCAGGAAGTGTATGCTTATTGACATAGCAGTACCATCTGAGGGAAACATCTTCATGAAAATTATCGAAAGATTGTCCAAATACAAGGACCTGGAGATCAAGATTATCAGGATGTATAGAATGAAGACTTGAGACTGTACCAATAGTAATCGAAGCTGTGGGCCTCGTGAGAAAAAGGAATGGACAATTTTATTAACAGTACCCTTGGTAACATCAACATGCAGGTTGCCCAAAAGATCATCCTACGAGGAACATCTTGTATACTAAGAAAATTGTTATCAATTAAATGACAATTCTCCTATAGTTTGGACCCGGCTTTTTAGGATACAAAGCAGGAAATATAGCATACACAAATAATAATAATAATAATAATAATAATAACAATAATAATAATAATGTGTACAACGCTTAGAGGAGAGTGTGATTTAAGTAGAGAAAAAGAAAAGGCAATGTTTGATAATATTCAACAACATTTCAACAAACTGCCTTTTATTTTCTATTTCTTTTCTTAAGTTGTGCTCTTCTCTAAGTGTTGAAAAATATTGGACAATTTACGTCAATCCTTTTGTTTAATATTAATAAAAATATTAACAATACTGATACTAATACTACTACTACTAATGATAGTAATAATAATAAAATTTTGGCAAATTCCTGCCAACTATTTGATATGACATGCCGAAAGAATTCCAATGCTTTTAAAAAATAATTTTAAAAAATTGTCAAATATAGAGACGTGCAAATCTGAGTAACAAAAATGAGGAAACATAAAACTATGAGTATTCCTGTTTTGATGGATGGGGTTGGGTATGGAAAAGAAGGGTACCGAAAATCATGTGAACCAAATTCTTGAGCACATCAGCATCTCAGAGCTACAAAAGATTGCTTTGTAAGGAATTGCACGTATCATCAACAAAATGAATATTGAGAAACTCTTGACCATTTTGTATGAGATTGTACGCTATTAACATGCACTGAATTTAAAACTCGGCACGAAAGGTTGGGACAAATATCTACACTATTTATCTCTCTCGCTCTCTTTGTCTATCTATCTATCTATCTATCTATCTATCTATCTACAATTTTCTAACATGATACAATTAATGTTTTCTTTCTTCCTTTTCTCTTTGTTGTGTTTTTCTTTCTTTTCTTCGACCGTTTCCTATCGTGCTACCAAAAATATTTTCTTTCTCTTTCTTTTTTTTTTTACTTTCTTTATTTCTTTCTTTTAATTTTTCATATGTTACTACCATTATTTTTTTTCTTTCTTTCTTTTTTCTTTCTTTCTTTTAATCTTTCTTCTTTCATTCTTTCTGTCTTTATCTCTTTCTTACTTTCTTTCAATGTTTTCTTACTTTAATTTTCAATGTTTCATTTTCATCTTACTAGCATTTTTTTTTTTTCTTTCTTTTTCTTTCTTTCTTTTCATATTTACATGCATTAATTTCTTTCTTTAATTTTGACTTACTACAATTTTTTTTTTTTTCCTTCTTTCTTTCTTTCTTTCTTTCTTTCCTCATTTGGCTTTCTCAAATTATCTCGAGATTCCGAATGCATACCCCCACGCTCTCCAACGACCAATAAGAAAATCATCAGTTTCACCTCTGCTTCCTCCGCTCCTCAACTTAGCATCGACTCAAAACACAAATGAAGGTCGCTTCAGACAGTTTTTAACATTACTATTACTTTCTTGACCTCAGTATTAAACAGCGTCTCATCTTCTTCGATTTGGAACATCTAAAACTTAACCCGGCCGCCCTTCTACACTCCCCCAGGAAGCAAGCAAATTTCTCTCAAATAATCGGCAAGAACACAGTTTCTGACTACCTGCCCCCGATACCTCTCAAGCTAGAAGTAGTATCCTGCAGTGTTTGGACTACACCAGCGAAAAAGATGGGCACTTGTTCACTTTTGGCGCTCATTTTCAATTTCTGGCGCGAAAAGGAATATTTTTATTTAATGTTTCTCTTCTTTATCACTCCATACTTTCACTTTCACTTTCACTTTCACATATTATTTTTATCTTTCTTTTGCTTATTATACGGCGGGTATTTATCCTACACTTCTTTAATACTTAGCGATTTTTCACACTTAGCGTGCATAATGATAGATCTCTTCCCTAGACGTAGATCTTCCATCAGCGTAGGTAACAGCGATTGCCTGAATCTGCCTTATCATTTCAAATACCAATATTTACACCATCTTCTTCGTTATTGGCACAGCTTTATCATTGGCATCAGCGCAAGGTTAGTCACCATTACAGCCCTCATTACTTTAGTCTCTGGCAATGTTTCGATTTGATAAGGTTTCTGATTAAGGTGCAGAAGATCAACTTTAAGCAATGTTTTATTAAAATATGTTTCCCCACGTGGGCTACAAAGCATAGCAAGAAAATATATCCTGAATTCACGAAACGTTATATATATATATATATATATATATATATATATATATATATATATATATATATATAAAGTAATAAACTTGGTTATGAACTTATGGTTATGGACGGGAATGCTTTTAAATGCTTTCAAAAATAGTTTAATATATGTTCTAATATAAATATATGTTAAAACTTCGTAAACGTCAGACAAAAGAAACCCTAATATATCAGAAGTCCGCGCGTTCGACTCACGTCTTGGGTATTAATATTACAATTTGCCACTAACATAGATAATAAATTATTTCTGTTGCAGAAAAAGTCGAGTTTTATGATCTTTTAAAATATACTTTTTTTTAAAAAGATTATGCCTTGATCAATGCAAGTGTTTTCACAAGTGGGTACGACGATAAACTAAATCCGTCAGCAAGACCTCTGATCAGGAGTTTTTAGAAGCGTGGAATCACCTCTTAATTGCTGGTATTCCCAGGTTCACCTTGACTCAAGGTGGTAGTAACTGTTAGGGTCCCAGCTATGGACAAATAGTTGAACCCCCCCCCCCCAAACCATTTTGATAACAGCAATTCATTTTTGTAAAAAAATATTGCCAGTAATACATTTTTGAAGAAAAAAAAATATTACCAGCAATACATAGATGAAGGAAAAAATATTACCAGCAAATAGATTTGGGGAAAAAAAAAATATATATATATATATATATATATATATATATATATATATATATATATATATATATATATATATATACATAAAAGAAATACATTTTTTGAAAAAAATATTACCAGCAATAAAAATCTTGTCGGCATTAAATAACCCATTGTGTATGATATGCCTTAAAACAAAACAAAACAATAGGAAAATTCACGTAATACGAAAATTTATGTAATACTAAAATGTGAAAGTCTATTCGGACAAATATTAGGTTTTATTTCTGTTTTTTGCTCTGAAAAGCGTTTATTATCTCCTCTCGATTTATAAAAGACACGTGGATCTTGTAAATTTCACTTTGGCGCAAAAATGTTTATACACAATAGCTGAAAGCGGTTTTTGTTTGTTTCATTTTCTTACTATTGTGAATTAATTACGCAAGTGGAGACAGAAGTGTTTAACGCCTCCTGCCAATACATCATAAATAATGGACTATTCCATTTCGATGGGTGGAAAGAAATGACATATCAGAGACGCTACTTGGTTTAAGAAAGAAAGAAAGAAAGAAAAAAGAAAGAAAGAAAGAAAGAAAGAAGTGAAGACAGAAGTGTTTAACGCCTCCTTCCAATACCTCATAAATAATGGACTATTCCATTTCGATGGCGTGGAAAGAAATGACATATCAGAGACGCTACTTGGTTTGAGAAAGAAACAACGAAAGAAAGAAAGAAAGAAAGAAAGAAGTGAAGACAGAAGTGTTTAACGCCTCCTGCCAATACCTCATGGACTATTCCGTTTTAATCACGTGGAAAACATATCAGAAGCGCTACTTCGTTTCAGTGAGAAAACAAGATAGAAGTGTTTAACGTCTGTTTCAGTGGAATCGATAAAGTTTTCAATTTTAAATCTTTTCATTTGTATCCCCTTACTTCTTTCAGTAAAGCTCAGCATTCATATTTATGACTTTTTTTTGCAACATTTTGTTAAAGTTGTTAAGCTCAAATATTTAACGAAGCGATAGGAGAATTTCTATGGATATTTTTTGTCGTAGAACTCGTCATGAGCTTATTCAATCAGTAAATTAATTAAAATTCATCAGAAAATTTTCACGAGTATCTCTCGTAAAATAATAATATACCATTCGATTTTTTAAAGTAGTCCTTTGATTTGAATAATAACAGATTTCTTCGTGACGAAAATGAAAGAGAAGAGGAAAGATATGATCGGAATATCATTTAAATTGTGGGTAAAACCGAAATCAAATTGGTGAAAGATTTTATTCGATTTCCATCATTTGTTCTTTCTATCATGTCCAAAATATTTGGCAGACTAGTACAGCGGTCACTCTTAGTCTTTTTTATACATTGCTGAAGTGCGTTTTTGTCTTAGACGTATTGTCTGGGTATCTAATTTTTTTTCGTTCAGACGATTGTAAAAACAACGTTCAGGCTCTATCGACTCTCCATAAGAAGTCAATGCGATCAAGAAGTTTCTGCCTTTGACCTCCGTCCCTACGTATATGGCTCTTTCTTTTTTTCTATTATTGTGTATTTTTTTCATTGACGTAGCTGAAACACATATTTTTGATATGCACTGTCTATATTTCTGGTATTTCATAATGTTGGAATCTGTCTGCAACTTTGTGTTATGTAATAAAACATCTGAACCGTACTAAATTCCTATTTTACAAATATACAAACGTATTAAGGAAAGGCGACATGTCACAGAAAGACCAACTTATTGTAGTATTATAATATCATTCTGCTTTATATTTAGTTGTTTTACGAGTTGCTAAACACGGAAGTTACGCCCTGCCAAAACCTCAGCGTAATGGAGCAATACGTTCTGATCTAGAGGAAAGACTGAAGAAACATATAATAGACACTAAGTGACTAAATTTCTCTCTCTCTTTCTCTCTCTTTCTCTCTCGAGTGGTTTGTAACATATTACTTATCATCTCTCAGTTGCGTCTCTGTCAAAGGACAGAGTCGCAATTGAGGAAAATTATACTGAAAGGTGCCGGCCCTGGGGAACAGCTGCCCGAGGCCGTGTCCTTGCACTAGAGAGAGGGATCGGTGTTTGCACTGAGGCCAAAGCAACCGACAGGAATTTTTGTTCCTAGCCCGGGTGTACGCGCTCGGGCTCCCCACATGAAAATGACCTTGTGTCCCAACCTGACCTCGTGGGTGAGGTTGAGCAAATACAAATATAAGAGACACTGATTGTTTTTAGAGGGAGAAAAAAAGAAAGAAAAAAAGAAAGAATGGAAGAGAAAAAAAGACAAGAGAAAGAGAATAGGCGATAACATTCTCATGTTTTTAACGCCTGCTTCAGTGAAATAGAAAATCTTGAGTCTTTTCATATGTACCCACTTACTATACATAATGATCTGCGTTCTTATTCATTGCTATTGCAATATTTTGTTAAAGTTGTTAAGTTTACACATTTTATGAAAATTTCCAAGGCTATTTTATAGTCGTGATCCTTCTCAAGGAGCTTACTCAATTATTAACTTATGAGTAAATGTTCACCAGAAAATTATAGTAGGAAATATTTACTCTCTTCTTTAAATAATGACCTGCATTCTTACTGATAGCTATTGTAATATTTTGTTAAAGTTGTTGCATTTTACGGCAATTTCCAAGTTTATTTTATAATCGTGAACCTCGCAAGAGGCTTACTCAGTTATTAATTTTTGAATAAATGTTACCAGAAAATTATAGTGGGAAAAACGTGAAAGTTACACGAGTATTTTTCATAAATTATCATTTTCACGGGAAATCCATCTCTATAGAGCATTGCAAGTTATAAATTGTATAAAAATCATTTGAATAAACGTCATACTGGTAGTGGCAGACTTTGTATCAAAAAATGGGTTTCCTGATGGAAAAAAAAATCGATGCAGGATCGATTCTTGATGTAATGACAATTTCTCTTTACCAGGATCCTCAATTGAAACCGGTTGTTATAAATTTCACGCTTTATGAACATTAAAAACACATCAAGTACCGTCACATAAACATATGTCTCCTCGTTTCCAATAACGTTTATAGTAATAAGAAATAATGTATTTTTCTCAAAATTAGGGTTGTTTACGGTTGTGGGTATGTAACTGAATGTAGCTAATGGAGATTCATAGGATTACAGAAATAGGAATTCAAACTTTTCTTTATCACGCTGGTCTTCGTGGTCAAAATCGTTGCACACTTTTGTTCAACAATGTTTTTTTCCCTCTTTTTATGAAACATGAGATGGACTGTTGAACACACAGAGACACACACACAAATATATATATATATATATATATATATATATATATATATATAATTATTTATTTAAAAATATGATTCCAACACGCTACATAATTAAATTGAATTAAAGTACTAAGCTCTGTTCCATCTTCAAGCAAAATTTTTTTGGAATAACTTATTTCACGTGTTTTAATAGCATATTCATTAAGTTATTCAAAAAAAAAAATTCGCTTGAAGATGGAACAGAGCTTACTTTAATTCAATTTAATTCAAATAGTTATTTT